AACCCATTGTTTATGGGTTTTTCGTCTTTATTGCTCCGTGTAATCAGAACAAACAGTTCTGATCCACAACAAGCCCTGATTGTTGGCCATAATCTTTCATAAGCGAAAGTGAAACAGTGACCAGAGTCATAAGTCCTTCCCATGGCTAATCGATTGCGCCAGTTAATGAGTTTTTACTGTGCAAAAGTCTACTTGGCATCCGGCAAAATACACTTGCCTTACAGGAAAACGCAACAAAATCAATTGATGAGCTTTATTATATAAGCATATTGCATAATAACTTTATGGTTTAGCAACAAAAGACTAACAAAATGTAAATTTACTTGCAAGGCGACATCTTCACCACACATTTATCTCGTTCGGGAACCATCTCTTTCTGCTCGCGTGGTGAATATGTTCTTGCATAAATAAACTCACCTTTGGCCTAGCAAATGTTGTAGGAGACAACGTTGGGCACACAGCCGCCCCTTGCCTCGTCGAAGAAGAGATTGCCACACGACATCTCGTCCAGAGTAATGCCCTCGCTGCAGCGTAGATAGTTGCGACATCCCTTGGTGCTGCTAATGACAAACGGCAGCGTGCGACCGTCACAGCGATCCTCGGCGCACTTGACGAGATTGGGGCTGCGGCAGGTCTCGCTGCTGGCATCGAAGAAGGTGTCCGGGGGGCAGTGGTTCCACATGGGATTTGCGTCCGGGGTGCCATCCGCCTGGGCGGCACAGAAGAAGTATCCACGGCAGGTGGCGCCGTCCGAGACGAACTTGTTGGCATAGGGCTTGCTGGCCTTGCCACACACATTGCTGGGCAGCGGATGGGCCACGCAGTCCACCAGGGGCTTGGCCACACACGTGCCGGTGCTGGCCTGATAGTACGACGAGGAGCAGGTCTTTGTCTTCAGGACGCCCTTCTCGCAGACGTGGTAGGCGGCGCACGACTTCAGATTGTCGAACTTCACGCTGTTCTTCACGATGCTGCAGTACTCAAAGTCGCTGGCGGTGCACTCCGACTCGTACAGCCGCGTGCAGGTCTGGGTGGTCTCATTGAAGTGCGTCTCCTGTGGGCAGGAGCCGTACATGGGCGTCTCCTGGTCCAAGCAGTAGTAGTAACCGTAGCAGGACTTTGGATCTGCCACGAACTGGCTGGTGGCATTCACGCACGACACGTCGCAGGTCGAGTCGTCAGTCAGTGTCTTGACGCACGCGCCCTTCTCCTTGTCGAAGAACGGCGTGGAGCCGCCGCAGGTGCCATAAACGCTGACAGCATTAATGCACTTGATGTACTGACTGCAGGAGTCCGGGTCCCGGATAACCGTGTTGTTGGAAAACAGCCTGCAAATGTCCTGCTCAATGGACTCTGCAACGGGCGAGTGGCAGGCCAGGACCATCAGCATGGCCAGGCCCACAGCCACAGCCGGTTCAAGGTGTGCTCCGAAAGCTGCAAGGGGAAATCGTTGTATTACTCTGGAAAATCTAACTTTAAGACGGTACCCACCTGTTCGCATTGTTAACAATCTTCACTCTGAGTCGTCGTAGAACGTTGTGCTTCGCAGTGCGACTGTTGCCGAACTGATGGCTATTGCTGCTGGCACTTTTGGCACTTCGATTAGCTTTATGGGCTCGCATATCAAAGGATCAGCTACCACTTTGGGCAGCTGTTTCGCTTTCGATTGTGTGAAGGTGGAAGTGCAAATACTCTGCCATAAAGCTCAGCCCATGGCAGTATTTTCTTGGCTGTGCCTATATATTTCTCTCCCTAGTTTCGTGACAGCAGTTGTGCCCTCTGTCAGGGTATGCAAAGAAAGATAAGCTACGCTGGCAGCTATAATTAAAATACACTCTCAAACATTATCAAAAATGGGGTATGGAAAATGTAATAGTTGGGATTGAATAATGCTTTTTGCTTTCCTATAATTGCACATTAAAAATTGGTAGTAGATCATTTCCATATCTCAGCTAAAGGACTTCAAAGGAGCTTGGTGTCTCTGCCACATGGAGCTGCGGAATATCAACAAAGGAAACTTATGCATGAGTGCTGCAGTAGGTGATTAAATATCCTAAAAGAACAAAGGCCAATGGGCACTTGGAGTAAAGCCTAGGGTCTAGTTTTGACTTCCAATCTTTTTACACAAGCATACTTTTGTGTCTACCATTTAATTGTTATTTAAAGCTTGCTTTTAGGCGAACGAAGAATTGTAGAAGCATTCCTCAGGACAGATAAGATGCCATATGCGTCACTCCACAGACGATCAATCATTCAACGACAGTAAACAAAGATTGAGACTGTTCAATTGAATACAACGAACCGCAATCGGGAGTACTGTTAACACTATTTTTATTAGTCATCAATCCAATATATATTATTATTTTATTTCACAATGATCAAACTATTGGAATGTGCATAAATCTATTTATGAGAAGACTTCTTCAAAGAATTCAAGAGCTTATCAGTAGGGCAACAGTTGCTAATGAATACACGACAAAGCTGCCTTAAGTTTGGGTGCCATTCCGTGAGCGAATATCTAAAAATATTGCCATTATTTTGGCCAAGAACAAGCGAGTAAGACATAGGCACAGAGATATGCCAAGGATCGCTGGAAAATAAAAGTTTAGATAGGCAGCAGCGAAAAAAAGAAGGTAGAGTCCGAGATACCGCGTGAAGTGATCAATAAGTGCCATGCCATTGAATTAAATATCAATTATAGACAAAAGAAACGGCAAACGGCACGCAATCAGTCGCTGATTATCCGCAGTGCTGTCTCCGTCAGTTGGGTTGGGTGTCATGTCAAAATAGCTGCCGGCTGTCCAGGTGCCCCGATTAGTGCTTAAAAGGCGTGCCTCGCTGGCCGAGTTCGCTAGTATAACACTTAACGTCCAACGTCCAACGTCCAACGTCCCGGCAGTACGTCTGAAGAGTACAAGGATGAAAGGTGTGTGTCTGAAAGGTTTACCTTTACTCTAAGTCTTATCGCTCGACACACAGACTCTGTCTCCCATTACGCCTTCCAGTTTGACTTTGATCGCTCGCTTACTGCGAATTGAATTTTAATTACAAGTTTGATATTCGGCATGGCTGGTTACTGGTTGCTGGATGGCTTATCTTATATGAAGCTGCTGGAAGTGTTTGACAATTTTTTAATTATCGCACTGCCAGGCGGTGGCCTATAAAAGCCTGCAGCCTGCTTTTGGCCAGGCTAGTACCAGCATCGTTCTCCCCAGCGGAATATCGAATACCGAGCCGAGATTCTGCCGTAACTAATTCCAAGTCCGATCCATATGGGAGGTAGGGCTGATGGCGAGGACTGCGCAGTGTCTGTAAGCTAAACCGATAACTAAACCGTCGAACATCTTGTTGTTCTTTCCCCTTGCAGGTTTCAATATGAAGGTCTGCGCCCTTGCGGCCTGTCTGCTGCTGGTCGGACATGTGTCCGGCTATTCGATGGAGGATTTGTGCGCCCAGTGGTCGGGCTCCGGCTACGTGGGCGACCCAGCCGACTGCCACGGCTGGGGCTACTGCCAGGGCCAGAAGCTGGTCTCGTGGAACAAGTGCCCCAACGGCCGCGTCTTCAATGCCCCGACCTCGACCTGCGGCTTTGCCAACTCGACGATTTGCACCACCAGCGCGGTGGCCACCTGCACGGCCGCCAAGTCTCCCATGTACGTGGCTGTGCCCAGTGATTGCAACCAGTATGGCTACTGCTTCGGCAACGGCTCCATTGGCTACGGAAACTGCGGCGCCGGCGGCGTCTATGCTGCCAACAACAACACCTGCGTCTGGGGACCAACTTGCCCTCAGGACACCATCTGTCGCTTCATGAAGAATGACATTTTCGTAGGTGATCCGAACAACTGCGGCTCCTACTTGCAGTGCAACAACGGCTACGGCACTCCGGGACAATGTGGCACCGGCAAGTTCTACAATCCGGGCAATGGCATGTGCCAGGGGACCAATCCCTGCACCGGCGAATCCGGCAACAGTGGCAGCAATCCAGGCACCACCTACACTGTGGGACAGTCGGTTGCAGCTGTCTGCACGGGCGGTACAGCCATAGCTCCCGCCACAACCTTCTTTATGCCAGATAAGCAAACATGCTATGGATACTTCTACTGTACAACAGCAGCAGGAAATGGAGTTTGGAACGCCTGTCTGACTGGAACCCACTTCGATCCTGACACACAGAAATGCGTTTCTCCCGCTTCAGTCGACTGCACCTATAACCGTTGCGGCAATGTCAATTCCCCATTCATGGCTGTCAGTGGCCAAAATTGCAAGCAATATGAAATCTGCTCAAGCGGCGCTACAGCCTACTGTCCCTCCTCAAACCCCTTCTACGATGAAGTACATAATATTTGTACAAAAGATAAGCCTGCTTATACAATTTGCGGAGCTGAATGAATGATTTTCCAGCAATTTCAATTACTTTAATTCCGTAATAAATGAATGCTCTATTCGTCACTGAGATGGTACATTTACTTCATTTCGATTTAATGATTGGGTGAAAAAGATATTAAAGTGGAAGTACCAAACAAAACTGCCTTTTAATTTGTTGCAGGACATTTCATAGAGTCTCAAAAAGTAGGCATACAAATGCTCAAAGATCTCTGTACGGGGGGGGAATTGATTCATGGAATTGGGAATATTTCAAGGAATTTCTGTATATTTCTAGAAGCAAAAGAGCAGGGGAAAACAATCATAATTGTATCTGTGAGTAATTCGATTTCCCTTGGTGGTTCGACAATGGCAATATCAATGCTTCTACGTGCTTGTACATATTCATATGAGTATTGGTTCTCCACTCCGAGAGCAATGACAAGGTTATGCCGTGTAATTTACATGCTTCTCGCTATCGTACATCAGAGTGGGGAGCGTTATCTGTGCTACTGATTGAGATAGCGACAAGCGATTGGCCGCATCGTTTTGGTGCATTTTGGAAATTGTTTTTCGCCGAAGAAAACAGCGCAGAATGGTCTTTGCATATTTAAGGAGGTGGCAGCCCCCTGACAGCGCATCATTCGTCTTCTGGTTGCTGCTCACAATCGATCGCAACGCAATCGAACTTCAAGGATACCAAACGAAATCCTCTCCTCCCCAAGGATAAACACCATGAAGCAAGGTATGTTCCGACCTACCCACTCCGACTCATTCAACATTCCACACTGGTGTTCCAGCTAGGGGGATCCTGCCATTGCTCGCGCTGCTCTGCCTGGCGGTGGGTGCCCTGGGTGGCAGCACAATCGACGACTTTGAGTATCTCTCGGTGCAGGAGATGTGCGCCCTGCTGCCGTGGGAGACGAGCTTCCTGCGGCCAAGCACCTGCGACAATTGGGTGAGCTGCCCGGCCAACGGCACCAGCCTGGAGCACGGCGCCTGCGCCACCGGACTCTACTACAACAAGCAGCAGGGCCGCTGCAATCTGGCCTCGAGTGTCCAGTGTCCCTACACCGGAGTGGAGGCCACCGCGCCCATCAATCTGTGCGCCAACGAGACGGACGGCACCTTCCTGCAAGACACCAGCAGCAGCAACTGCCGCGGCTACATCCTCTGCCAGGGCCGCACCCAGATCCATGCCGACTGCCCCAGCGAGCTGATCTTCAATCCCCGATCCCGCTCCTGCGTCTACCACAACCAGTACACGTGCCCGGAGAGCCAGATGACACACACCAGCCCGGCCTGCCGCGCTCTGCCCAACAACACGCGTCTGGCCCACACCGAGCACTGCGAGCGGTACTACGAGTGCGTCAACGAGATCCTCCACACCCGCGAGTGTGCACCCCAGAAGGCCTACGACGTCAACAGGGGCTACTGCGTGGACATCGAGCAGGTGGCCTGCTACGCCACAGCAGCCCTGCCCGAGCCGGAGAACACCTTCTGCCTGAACAGCACCGGTGGCTACTATGCGGATGATCAGTCCTGCAGCCACTACTACATCTGCGGCAAGCCCGTCAAGGGCAAACACGACACACAGCCCCAGCACCTGAGCTGCGCCCTCGGCCAGTACTTTGACATCGAGAAGCTCTCCTGCCGCGACCGGCTCAACGTTCGCTGCGTTCTCGATCGCTGCGTGGGCAACAACATGTCCTACGTGAATGTGGCCGACGATTGCCAGAAGTATGCCCGCTGCTCGGGCGGCGTCACAGCCGGCACCGGTCGTTGTCCGGATAAATATTACTTCGATGAGCGCAGCCAGGGCTGTACGCCCACCAATCACCACTACATTGCCTGCTCCCCAAGGATTGCCTAGGCCCCTTAATCATAGTTAACCGATCCGAAACAGGGTGGAGGTCACAACAACTAGAGCTGGTCATGCGAAATATTTCCATGCACGATTAAACATTTTCTAAACACGCCCTTTTGTTCCCCTTTTGCTGCATACTCTTTATTAATATTAAACTCCAACAATGCATTCCAATACCAATTTCAATACTCATCCCACGACGGAGTTGTGTACGTGGCCAGGGGCACAGGAATTGTCTTCATTTGCTGAGTACAAGTGCGAGCAGGTTCGAGTAGGTTCGAGCAGGCACACGGCCTTCCCCATCAAATTACGCCGCATACCTTTGCTTTTTGGTTTTTATTTATTTTTTTTTGGCAATCGCTCTTCGTTACAGTTCAAGTGCCCAAGCACAGGCCCCAGGCATTATCAGTTTTAATTAAAAGAGTACCCCCGTCGCCAGTCTTCGGGTTCGAAGAATTCGGCGCCGCCATTTGATAGCTCCGATAACAGATTCAGCATGTGAGGCTGCTGCTGCTGCTGCTGCTGCTGCTCACTTTTTGATACAATTTCTTTGCCACACAAATGGGCAAAAAAAAAAAAAGAATAGTTACAGCTACAGCAGAGGGTTAAAAATGTTTAAATATTTTCCAACTTAGTTGATTTATACTTATGCCATAAACAAGTCATTGACATTTCGATAATAATCAACAAAAACAGCATGCGATAGCATTCTTTCCTAGAAATAAATAAGTCATTTGATAACTGCTGCTGGGATCCCCCGAGGAATGGCATGCTGGCAGATTCTTTCATCCCTTAAGTGTCTGCATTGCCGAAAAATGTATGACATCATGTTTGGATCTTGTAGCTATTATGTTGGCCAATCGATTCACAGAAATCTAACCCACCGGGGGACCTCTAACCGAACGACTTAATCGACTTAAGATTGATAACAGCAGACTCGTATTTACTTGTCGTGGTGGGGAGTATCTAACAAGTGTCTAATTAAAACCGATTGCGTACGCTGCTCACGCGGCTTCAGTGCTAGTGGCTTGCCTGGGACTGTCGCTCGTGCTGGTTCCGGTCGTGTCATCATTATTGGCTGTATGGGCCACAACTTGGGTCTGGCAGGCGGGATAAGATATTACCGCCGTTGTGCAGCGCTGAGTCAGCTCGTCAAAGTACTCTTCCGCCGGACAAGTGCCCGTGCCAATGCTGACTCCGTCCTGGCATATGGCGAATCCCCGGCAGCCGTCATCCGACTCGCTGGCCAGCTGAATGGTCGTGTTGCCCAGACCCACGCAGCGATCGTACGGGCAGGCCACATTGGTGCGAGGCACGCAGGCGCCACCATCGGCGGCGAGGAAGAACCGTCCGTCAGAGCACACGGCATGCTCCAGCGCCATCTGCCCATCCGCCAGCTCGTGGCAGTAGTAGTAGCCGTTGCAGGACACTTTATCGGACACAAAGTCGCCAGCCTGGGCGCAGACACCCTTCTCGGCAATCAATGGGGGCACGCTGATGTCGCAGGCCACATTCTGCGGATAGTCGCAGCTCGCGGAGCTGGCACTGAAGTAGAAGGTGCCCGGACAGGTGCCACTGATCACCTCGCCGTCCCAGCACATTTGCCAGCCGTTGCAGTTGCTGGAGTCCTTGATGAACACGCCATCGGGCAGGATGTTGCAGTAGCTGTCCGGATCCATGTTCAGCTTGCACGGATACATTCTTATGCAGGTCTCCGTTCCGGCACTGAAGTTCATGCCCGTGGGGCAGTAGCCCTTCGTGCCCTTCCCGTCCAGACAGTAGTAGTAGCTGCTGCAGGAGTACGGATCGGCGGCGAAGCCATTCAGCACCGAAGCACACGGATCACTCGACAAGCACTGGATGCTGTCCGAGTCCACACACTTCTCGCTCTCCCTGTCGTAGAAGAGGCCAGCGCCACAGGTGCCGGCCACTGGCTGCCCAGCGGTGCACTCAATCCAGCCATTGCACACACGAGGATCGTTTATTTTCGTGCCATTAACAACCAGAGAGCAAATGACACTCGGGTCAAAGGTGGCGCTGCACAGTGGCACCAATGCGAGTGCGAGAAACACAAATATCCTGGCATCTAGACGAAATAAATGGAAATCACAGCACAAAAATCAAAACTAAATTAGCAAACATTTATAGACGGGCAATCAGAATTTTCTAGTAATATTCCACGTTTATTTCTACGTACTCATGTTGCTTGTTTGTGGACTCAAAATGCTTTATTAACGCTCCTATAGGCGACAACGTACAACTGGCAGGCGCACGGCACTGGTTTTATTTTATACTCGTAAATGGCGTTCGCTCGATCGAGTGTTCCGCAGGTCCATAAATTAATGAGCATTACTATACGGTCGGCACGGAACTGTCGTCAGTGCCTAAAAAAGGGCGCTGAGCGTATTCATATTTCTGTTTTTTGTTTTGTTTTATCAAATTGCTGCTAAAGCCTAATTGGACTTGTTTGATATATGTGGGAACTCCGTGGCTGTTGGTCGATCAACAAATAAAAGACCAACCAATTGCGTATTATATGGAGGATCGGCAATAAGAAAGACGAGCTGTGCTTTCTTTTTCTGCAGAAACTGCAAAGGATAATGCGAATTTGTTACTGAATTGTTGCAGCTACCGAAATGTATATGTTGGGCTCTGATCAACTGTGTATTGATCTTGGGGAAGAGCAAAAATGATTAAAATAGTTCCCATTATGCTACGATTAATTGTAATTCTGAAAAGGGAGCCACACAACTACCAAGGCTGATATATGTATAATGTTTTGGGTAGTGCAAATATTGTTTTCATTTTGTTTTCCAAACTCCAAAGTCTCTTGCCAGATAAGACATGTGTGTGTCTGTACATGCATCAGGGTATAAATAAACGCCGATGACCAGTTCACTTAAAAATACAAACTGATTATCTGGAAGAACGTATCAATAATGAGGCAAAGCCATAGCCATAGATTGTCCTCCATCTGCTTAACAATATCTGCAGACTGCAGCTGTTGGCTATTGATCGAAATGTTTGCAGGCTTTCTTCTGGCTGTTCTTTTTGGGTGTCTATTTATGGCCACGATTTGGTGGGACGTCGTCGATCGATCATGCAAAATATCTTTTGACCATAAGTGGCGCGGTGCGTGCGATTCATCATGTCTTGTGCTCGACATGTCGTCGATCAATCCAGGGAATTCCTCCAGCAACGATAAACTAACTTCTGGTTGCATATAAAAGTCTGGCGGCGCAAAGGCTCCTGCACAGTGTTCGACTGTGAGCTACCAGAGCGCACACTGAAGAAATTTCCAAATAATTATGATGGGTGGGTGCTGCTGCCACAAATATGTCAGAGAATAAACAACTAATCATAGATATAAACATCTCCCCGATAGGTAGAGGTCAAGGATCGATGCTTGCCGGCCTCCTGCTGCTGCTGTGCGCCTGCACGGCCCCGGCTGCGGCCAATCTGAATATGAGCGCCCTTTGCCTGACGGTGCCCGATGGCATGTTCGTGTCCAGCCAGATGGATTGCTCGAGCTACTACCATTGCCAGGGCGCGACAGCCAGCTTGATGAGCTGCTCCAATGGGCAGTACTTCAACAAGGACACGCAGACGTGTGTGGCCTCCTCGCAGAGCACCTGCGCCAGCAAGAGCCATCCCTGTCTGGGCAAGACGGTGGGCAGCTTCCAGCCGGACAGCAGCTCCTGCGGCGGCTACTGGTACTGCGGTGACTCGGGCGCCATATACGGCAGCTGCCCCACCGGCGAGAACTTCAATCCCACCACCATGGCCTGTGTCTATGCCTACCAGTACGCCTGCTCGCAGTCGGTCGTGGACAGCAGCAGCGGCGCCAGTCCCGGCGTGGAGGTGGCCCTCAATCTGTGCTCCCTCATCGAGAATGGCTTCTACTTTGGCAGCGCCTCGGACTGCAGTGGCTGGAACTATTGCCAGGACAATGTGCTGCACAGCGGCACCTGCCAGAACGGCTTGGTCTTCAATGTGAATGGCAAGAGCTGCGGCTACAGAAGTCCCAGCTCCTGCGCCCAGGTGACCAACGATCCCTCGTTGACCGGCGCTGTGGCCCCAACGACATGCACCACGAGTGGCACCATGAAGAACGCCACAGCGTGCAACCAGTACTATCTCTGCACCGGCAGCAGCTACACCCTGATGACCTGTGGCTCCGGCTTGTACTTTGACACCGTCTCGCAGACGTGCGTGGCCCGCATGCAGGCGCGGAATGACTGCGATCGCTGCCTCGGCTCCACCAAGTCCTTCGTGAATGCCTACTCCAGCAGCGGCTGCAATCAGTATCTGTATTGTGTCAATGGTGCCCAAAAGGCTGTGGAGACCTGCCCCGACAATTATTACTTCAACGAGGATGCCGGCAGCTGTGTCTACGAGACTGAACCCGCGTTCAAGTGCTGCAATCCCGATGGACTGTCCGGACAGCCGGCCACAACCGCAGCAAAAACAACAACTACAGCAACAACAACCACCACCACAGCAACAACAAAGACACCTGCATAAAGGATTTTGCTGAAGAAATATGTTTGCAATTAAAGGAAAGCCCCTTGTGCCCCTTGATCATTCGAGACTAGTTTCAGTTCAATGGATGGGCCCCACGAATGTCGATTAATTCGCTGCAAAAACCTCAAGAACTAATCTGGAAACGTGCGCCCAACCCCAGCCCCCGTTTCTACTGATTAGTGCTGTTTCTGTGGCTTCTTGCCTTATTATTTCTTTTTTTTAATTATTAAGTTATGACCCTGATATGAACGAGCATAGATAGGTGTCGCGGGTGTCGTCTTCTTCCTCGCGGAGTATCATTCGATACGACAGCCACAATGGCTCGATAATTCAATAAAATTAAATTGTTATAAAATTAAATTGTGTTGCGCCTGTATCTTGAATCATCTGCATCAACGTAGTTCTCGGGAATCGAAGCGCTTATCAATTGGCTTGTCGCTGCCAGAGGCTCTCCATAAAATATATGGTGTATATTTTTGGCCATCGGCGAAGTATAAAAGACTGTCGCTGGGATAACACCATATTCAGTCAACGACTAGCTGCCAGTATTAGCTCAAGCGGATATCTCTCTGACATCCGACATCATGACAACAGGCAAGTGAAACCCCCTCGAAAGTGATAACTAATTTCACAATTTCACGATCCACAGCCAAATTCCTCTCGGCTGCCATCCTCTGCCTTGTGCTGGGCACTGCCTTGGGCGCCGATGTCTTGGAGGGCAACTACAATGTGACGGCCTTCTGCACGGCAGTGAAGACCGGCACCAATCTGGGCAGCATCGTCTCCTGCGACTACTACTACGTGTGCACCAGCACCGGACCCGTAAAGACCTCCTGCACCAGCGGCTACGCCTTCAGTCTAGCCACGGGCTCCTGCACGCCAGCGGGACAGGCGAACTGCTACTACGGCATGGAGAATCCCTGCCTGGGCAAGACCGGCGAGAACTGGGTGCCCGTGACGGGAACCTGCAACCAGTACTACTACTGCCTGGATGGCGTCAACAAGGGACGGGACTCGTGCAGGGGCACTCAGTCCTTCGACAAGATCAGCCAGCAATGTGTCTACGGCAACTGCAACCCCGCCCTCGTCGACAGCAGCGACGAGCCCAGCCTGCAGAGCGTCTGTGAAGTTGTGCCCGCTGGCAAGTACTTCGGTGACACCATAAACTGCCAAAAGTGGAACTTTTGCCAACCCGACGGCACACTCCAGAGCGCCGACTGCGCGACTGTAAGAGAACCCGCACAGCCGGAGCCTGAGAACTCTTGTTAAATATTGATTCCTTTCAGGCTTATGATGTGCAAAACAATATGTGTGGTTACAATACCGGAAACGTGTGCAGCAGAGTCACAAACACAGCGCTGGGCACTGCCTCCCTAGAGTGCACCAAAAACGGTGACATGGTGGCCAATGAGAACGTCTGCGGCAGTTACTATGTGTGCAATGGAAAGTCTCTGGTGTCTTACGACTGCGCCTATGGCTACTACTTTGATGTGACGACACCTGGTTGCTTGCCGCGCAAGACAGCCACACCGGCTGAGGGCTGCAATCGTTGCCAGTTCGCCACCACCACATGGGTGAATGCCGTGAACACGACCACCTGCGGCACCTACTACTACTGCAACAATGGCAAGGCCACACTCCAGACCTGCCAGGAGGATTACTACTTCAACGAGGCCCAGCAGGGCTGCGTGCCCACCTCCAACTTGCCCGCCTTCACCACCTATGTGTCCAGCAATGGAGCTTGCGCTGGAGCAAAAGTGAACTCAACCCCCGGCGAAGGAGGACCATCCTCCGGCGAAGGAGGACCATCCTCCGGCGAAGGAGGACCATCCTCCGGCGAAGGAGGACCATCCTCCGGCGAAGGAGGACCATCCTCCGGCGAAGGAGGACCATCCTCCGGCGAAGAAGGATCGATAACCGACGACGCTGGAAATAAGGGAAAATAATGCTTCCACACGAACGTCGCTCGATTAAACGCGGCCAGGATCCGTTCGTAGCTGGCGAAGCAATGAAATTCTTTGGAGAAAATTCTGCTCCTGTTGCATAACGTATTATATTTGAAATATTTCAGTTAAATAACATTTACAAGCAAACCATTTAATGCATTCTATAAGTGGGCTGGGTTTTGCCAGTTGCCAAAACGAGCAAGGGCAAATTGGCGTCACTGCGAATTGCAAATCGCGAGAGCATCAAGTAACTATAAGGAGGCTTCGTTGGTGGCAGAGTTACTCGTTGGTTCTGCTTATTGTCAGTGCTTGTTTGCTCAGTGCTTGTTTGCTTGTCGACGTGGAAAGTTGGTTGCGGCAACATTTTTTTTTTTAATTTGTTCAAAATGTTTATTTTCTTAAAACAAAGACTACTATCATGTAGCAAACTATTAAAAATTAAATTATTAATCAATTATTATGTTTTTTCACATTGCCTTCAAATGATTAATCAGCACACTCTAATGTCGTTGCCCTCACACTTACAGCGAGAGCCCTTTCACTCGCACTTTTCACTCGCACGTTCTGCTTATTTTTGCCGACGAGACCTCCCTATATAGTTTCTTCATGCGCGAGAGCAAACGCAAAGAGAAAACGAAGGAGAGCGAATTGAGAGCGAGAGCGGCTAACCGATCGGCGAGAGAGCGCCGGGAGAGTTTCTATGCAGATTCCGACGTAAAAGGTTGTTCTTCTACCATATCCAATCACTTATTAACCTTTACTTAGAAACAACAAACATAAGCACCCACATATATTTCATATATTCTGTTGTGCCTACCCTCGCCGAAAAATCACAATCGGGAAATTAGTAGACCAAGTTTTGATGTTCAAGATCTGCGGCAGAGGCATGGCCAGATCGCAGCACACATTTCAGATTGCCAAACACAAGTTTTCGATTAATTCTGACACTTGCCGCACCCAGCGGATCGACTGTATAAAAGGGAAGCACGCAGAGAGGCGCCACCATATTGTGGTGCAAAAAAGAAAACCATATCAACATCGAAACATAGCTGCAACCCCTATCAAAATTCACTGAAATGCAATGCTCTTGGGCATTTGTCTTGGGCATCGTCTGTCTCCGCCTTGGAGCTGGATATGGCCGACAGCCGCAGGTTCAGGCTGCAATGGGTGACTTGAGTCACGTGAGTAGCGTAGCGTAGAAGGAACTCGAGTCTCGTATTCCCATCTGCCTGTTTGCAGATTTGCGTCGCTCGCTCGGATGGCGAACTGGTGGCCCACCCGCTTGACTGCAATGGATACTTTGCCTGCGGCCGCATCCCGACGCTGCTCTACTGCGACCAGGGCCTGCACTTCGACGAGACTCGTGGCGTGTGCGATCTGCCGGAGAATGCCAACTGTAGGCAGAGTGAGCTGCTGCCGGTGTCCAGATCCACACCAAGTCCGGCCAGCGACTTTGTGCCAGAAGCCTCCGAAATCATTTGGTGGCCCCAGAGGCCGCGGCCCAGCTTCGTGGCAGTAGACGTATCCACTGGACAGCCCGTCAATCCCATGGAGAAGTACGATCCCTTGCACATCGAGTGCCGCCACTTTGGCGCCTACTTTCTGCCCCATCCAAGCAACTGTCGTCTGTACTTCATCTGTGCCTACGGGCACCTGCACCGTCATCAGTGCGGTCGTGGCACCTTCTGGAACTACGAGAAGACCGAGTGCCAGCTGAGCAGTGACGCCGTCTGCTACGGCCAGTTGCGACCCGATCGCCAGGACGCCCTTGTGGGCACAGACGACACCGATGGGATGACTACTATCAGCAGCGGTGGTGAGGTGACAGTGTGCTACATTGTGGGCACCAGCACGCTCCTCTCAGAGCCACCACCAGCCACCACGGACGCAACTGTGCCGCTCCTAGCGCCAGTACTGTCCACGCCACGTGCCGAAACCAGTGTCCCACTCACTTGTCCCTCGGAGAAGCAGAGCTACATGTCCCATCCCGAGGACTGCAGCAAGTATTACATCTGCATTGTGGGCTCGCCGGTGCTGACGTCCTGTCCCAAGGGTCTCTACTGGGACCAACTGTCGGGATACTGCGACCTGGCCAAGAATGTGAAATGCTTCCAAGTTTGATCAATAAACTCGAGCCCCTCTAGTGCTTGACATTGCACTTGCTACATATTCGCATACGGGTTGTCCTCCGTGGAATCAATCGAAAGGCATATTTGGGAGTATTTGTTGTGGCTTTCCTGGCCTTCAGTTTTATTCAGATAAATATCGTTGATCTTCTACAAATACAAGCTCTATAAAACTGTGGACATTGTAAGCCTTTGCCACATAACTCTTTTGTTGTGAATATTTTCAGGTGTCTCCCTTTCCGGTTTATCAGAATGCCAGGGATAATTCTTCACTCCGGCTACGATTCGCCACCATAGAGTTGGTGGATTTGTTTCCCCCGCGGCGATGCTGGTTGAACCAAAGATCAGCATGAAAAGCAAAGCTCCACAAATGGCCAACTGAAATACGTTGATCTCCCTCATCTTGAGGCTCCGTTACCACTCAGTAGATTGTGTGCAAGTGACTGATCTTCACGAATATCATAAAAGACTTGGCATGATGGGAGTCTTATCAATTTAGATTATTTTACAACGCTGCAAATTGCTTTACAACATTCAGATAATGGGATAAGATTGCAAAGATATTAAGTTATGGTATCTAAAGAGCTAAATATTGACAAAGCATTGCATTCTTTTGCAGACATTTTAAAACTAAAAAGTCTAAAATTCTGCCACAAAAATGGTGGACATCATTTTGTCATACGAGCATCGACATTTTACTGCATTCTTTTTAGCTGAAGAACATAAAGTATTTTATATTTTATATATTTTAGAAACCAAGTAGAACATCCATTTGTGGGATTTTCGACTGCCAATCGAGTAAAAATACATAATCTACATCCAAATCGTACTTTATTGAGATAATAATAAAATAAATGTTGGTACTTTGTATCAGCGCCTTTCTCCGCGATTCTCATAAGTATACGCTAAGCACACCTGTGTGTATTTGTGTGTGTTTTTCTATATTTTTTCTGTCTTTGTTTTCCAATGTTCCATCTCTTTACACTCGCTATCTCTCTCCCTGTCAAGGCAGGAGACAGGAAGCTCCACTGAAGCCCCTACGCATATAAACGGAGTCTCTAAATGTTGAGTATTGCAAACTGGGAAGCGAAGGTATATTCCCTCGTGCCCTGCAATTACTGGGTATCTTAAATGATGTCAGTTTTAAGCTAACGAACGTTTAAAGATTGTCCCTGATCTCAACGCACATTGATCTGTTCATTCATAAATAATCCATTAATTGGATGTATTAGGTTTTATTTTTGCTTATGTATCCATTTATGTATTTTTTGCTTTTGTGTATGAACATACAAATGTTTCGCGCAATATTTTGTTTAATTTAAATTTATCTTTCAAAGCGGTTGGAGCGCTGCTAGGGCTCGCTGTATGCTCCCAGCCATTTGGCGGTGTTCTGCTCATTAATTAATTCAAGCGTCCAAACTCGGTCGTTGGTCAACAAAAAAACTCTCTGTCGGGACTGTGACTCATGAAGCCAACGCCCGGCTCTGGGTTCGAAACATTGGGTACCCTTGGAGATTGGTCGTTCTTATGACAGAAGTACCAATGAGTACAATGACATAATTTGTAATGCTTCATCGATTTATTATCAGTAACTATTGCCGATAAATCGTTATCATGGCACCTGTAAGATATAGTCATGAGTTTTGAATTAGTTTTGGCTGCTGTATATTGTCTCAAGCTTTACTTTCGACCCAGCAAAATAACAATAGTCTGTCTGAAATCTCCGTTGATATACGAAAGCTCGAAAACTGAACCAAGGCACCCTGTATCCCTCTGCAAGAGCAAACAGCTGGTGCCGCGCCGCCGCACTGCCAATGCACGCATACCACTCCAACGCCGAGAGAGAGTCTGACAGCAGAAGAGAGAAAGAGAGCGAGAGCGGCACTATTTTTGCGGCGATCGTTCGTTGCGTACCGTTCATACAAAAACGAAACGCCAAGAGTTGGCTTTTAGCTTTGTGCGCGAGCGGGAGTTCTTTTTTGTTTTATTTATTTTCGCATCAACGTCGATCCCTGGAAGTAAGTGCGCACACATGGCGGTACTACTGGCGACTCGAGCACATTGCTAATTCTGATGTGCGATAGGGTTAAGTGCGGTGCGGTGCGACTTGGTACGGAATTGTACACCAGCAAGCTTGTGAGTGTAGCGGCTGCAGGGGCGAGTCGGCGGCGCCTGTCCATATTGGTACCGAAGCCAATTTTCAAGTGCAAAAAAGCTGGCGTTGTTTAATAGAAAAACAACAACAGAACAAAAATTAGAGGCAATCAAATTGAAACGTGCAAAACGGCGAGAGAGAGAGCGTGTCGTTCCGTGCGTGTGCCAGCGTGCGTTCGTGTGTGTGTGTCTTCGTTGCGTTTGTGAGGTGAGCGAGAGCGAAAGCAGCGAGAGAGTGACTCTCAGCTGTCAGCTGGTTGTTAAATTGCGCAAAAAGCCTTTATATAAACTCTCTCTCCCTACATACATATGTACAACTACATACACATAGGCCGTGCATGAAAATATGTACAATTCAATTTTGTTTTGTTTTCCATGCACTGCGTTTCGTTAGAGCAGAGTGTCGTCTATTCCCGAAAACAAAGTGCGGGCCCAGCGGGGCTGAGAGCAAATAAGAGTGAAGTGCATTTCTTTGTCGGCGTGTGCACGCGCTTCAAAGTTCGCTGCCGCTAAAAAAACGGTTGCGCTTTGACCAGGCCAAAATCGAGCAAGGCTACATATACGAAATATCTCTCTCTCTGTCTAGTGTGAGCGCAAGCGTCGCGTCGGACATCGAATCGGACGTACATATTGTCGGGTCGGTAAAATGCCAATGCGATTCCGAGTGTTAATGAAAAAAGCAAAGTATATGAAAATCTGAACAGCAGCAGTGAAGCAGCAGAATAGCAACGGCGAAAATCGGAAACTACTTACGAGTATATCAAAAGCAGTCTATCAGGAAAGAGCGGCCACACACACGCACACACCAAAAAGCAACTTGTGGAGCTGATAACGCCGAAGGGTAAATATTGCCAACACTTTTTGATGTGTCGCCCGACACTACGATACGACTCTACAACAGAACCCAATAATTGGAAATTCTTGGCTGCCATATGTGTGTACCAGATGTCTGCAGATTAAATGGAAAGCTCCCGTACCTTCCATAACAGATTTTCAATAGAATTAGTCGCCCTGGGGGAAGTTTCACTGTGGCAGACATGCGGGATCGTACATGTGCGAGATGGCACATCTCGTTATCAGCTTTTTATCACGTTAATCTGCTAGAGATTTATGTAACATGCATATATCACACGACCTTATCATAAGCCCGAAACACTATGGGATGGGTGTTCCATCATTAGAACTAGTTCGCTTAGAATTGGAACCGGTTTGTGTTCCTGTTGTTCAGGCGAAGGTTCCTCAAAGGAACCAGGAGGAGGAGGAGGAGGCTATCTATCACCACTGACGGATGCTACATATGAGAGTGCTTCGACAACAACAATGCGTTGTCAATGAAACCCGCAAACAGGTTTCATTCGAACCCAAACAACGAGACAACAAAACACACATCAGCAGCAGCGGGAAGGCGGCAAGGTGTATGCTCGACTAGCACCTATCCCGCACTTCTTAATTTCTCTGAGGGGGTGTACACATTTCATAAAAAACAAGACAAAAGGCAATCGAGCCCTCTCACAGATTTGGGATTCTTTATTCCTTATTGTCTCAAGTGCACGACGGACTTACGTCAACCGGTGAGATTGTTGTGTTACAGGGTGTTCATTTCGTAGAATTTTGATTGCCAGTTGTTGGAAAGTATTCCGTTTTAGCCATGATCGATACATATGCGGGTACATATTTGATTTGTCATTAGACGATGGTCATTCGCCCCTTCGAGCATTAGGGAGCTTTCACTTGAATATGCCTTTGGATAACATGTTTCATCCGCCCTGATATTGAACCCGAAGCAGGCATACCCACCACGCATTGCCATGTGGTAACGTAATACGCATCGAAGCTTCTGTTTACAGAGAAACGCAAATAAACAAACCCTTTCCTTTCGTCTCAAGCTCAACTCCAAGTGAATCTTACACACAAAAACCTGGCTGGAGCGGGCACAATCGCCTCTCAAAGTGTAATCAAACGCGGGGCGTAGAATCTACTGAACCATAGCGAACAATCAAACGCAATCGAAGCCGAAATCGATATCGGTATTCAGTGGCAGGTGCAAGAGCAGAGAAATCACTTTAAAGTAAATGAAAAGACAGCGAAACCGTCTCAGAAACTCTCGTCTAAATTTAACCACAAATGTGAGTACTTTTGCGGCTAATTTAAAGTTGATCTCAAGACCCGGGAGTGACAGAGACGGTTATTGATATTCTGATCATCATCATGGCTTCTCTATGCGGTTTTATGCGTATACCGATACCCTCTTCAGCAGTGGAGTATATCCATACAGGGAACTGCTAGCAGGAGGTTGGCAATTTCGAACGCCTTTTTGTATATGATCGATGGTAAGCTCTTTGTTAAAAATAACCAGAAAAACCAAATTTGTCTACCATTAGACCTTTTGCAACAACAAATATTTGTGATTATCGGGTATTAAATAGTCGATATGGGAACTACAATGATGGAGGATGAGGATGGGTCTACATTAGACATTCAAGTCGAGTTTTTCCAATGGATGTCAACATGGAAATGTCAATGCAAAATCATCCATTTAAAGGGTTTTTGAAGGTCTGCTGAGAATAAATGGAATAATCTTATGATTAATTATAAAGAAGGATACAACTTGCACTGGGCCTGCCCTTGTATGAATTCCTCATTTACAAGCAACATTTTGAATACCTAAAACTGCAAGAACTAGCAGAAATCTTCCAATAAGAGCGACACTTGTACCTCCGAAATCTTAGCCATAAAATTGAGTGACGTATCAGATAGGATTTGTGTACTCAACGATCTATTGTTTAAGAAACCCGCCCAAAAAATACGCTTCGGCCTCAGGCAGTAGTGATTGGCTTTGCCTCTGAAGTTCCCAACACAAATAAGTCAATACTCCTTAATTGTCGTGTGAATGAGTCATTTCGACATTTAAAAATAAGTAAAGTTCTGCTGGATTGGGGGATTGACATTGATAAAACACACTCCAGTGTGGGAATGATTAGAACGACCATCAGATACCCTAGTTATTTATTGGCATTATTTATTGGTTATGCAATGCCACATAAAAGGGACAATGGCTGCCGAGTAATCCTGCACTTAATATTCAAGTTGAATGTAGTTTTATTGTCCGACTATCTACAGCAGCATTTTACTTGCGAAAATCATCAACTGATTTTCTGATTTGTTATTCATTGAGCGACACAAATGTTGATAGCACCTCTCCTCCCCCAGAGACAGAGAGAGAACGAGAGATCAGTGCCATGCAATCTTTTTGGATTCTCATGGCAGGTGAAAAACGGAACCAAAGCAATCAACAGCCAACCCACACACACACCTAAAACTCAGATATCGCGCCACTATAGAGAAAGGGATAGGGGTTAGGGGTATGGAAAGGGCAGAAGTGTGTCTGGGGCTTTTTTTTTTTGTTCTTCTGTGTGGGAAATCTTATCACGCAGCGAATGTTGTGAATGTTGTTTTTGAGGCTTTGGCTGGAAATAAAAATTGCTCGAGATAACAATTTAGGCAAAAGTTTCACCACACTGGAGAGTATCTATCACTCCGCTCACTCATTCCGCAGGCCGGTTCCACAGCTCATCCGCATGCCAAATGTTTGCAGTGGCAGCTGGCAAGTGGCAACAGTGTCTCAGTGCACTCTTAAACTGCATTCGTTCATTTATTTTGTATCTGCAACTGGCACGATTCGTTTGATTTCCATTGAGCTTCCATCGGCCGGAATCTGGCTGAAGGAAGGGCTGGTGTTTGCACTTTGGCAATATCCACTGTAAACGAGATATAGCGGCTCCCTCGCTTCCAGATATCACTCACATGCGAGCATGTCTGTCATTTTTTCTTTGCATTTTCATCGTACATCGTACATACATACATATATCCACATCGACATCCATCATGGATGGACGAACTCTTCTGTGGCTCTGTCGTTGGGTTTTATCAATACGAACTCTCTGTTGATAAATTGACAGGCAAACTGCTATGCCGCGTACGTCCACTTTCCAGCACTGTCCAGAGGGGTCACTGTCACTCAAAATCAGGGGATTTGAATGGACATTTGACTGGACTGGAATCACCAACGTTTGCCATAAACTAGGGAACATAAAGAGCGCTGCAAAAGATAGAAAAATATCTCTAATATAATATTCTAAAGGGGCCGCATAAATACTCTTAAATATACAAAAATTCCTCGACTGATTTGAATCGTAATTTAAGCCAGAGATATTCCGCAATTTCTTTAAAAATGAATAAGCAAGCCCCGGAAAGTGTGTGGCCAAATATATTTCTGGGAAAAACCGATCCGACAGAAGGTACAGAGCTCCCATGGTTCCTATGTGTGTGCCTGTGTGTAGGGGCATTGAATCAATAAAACAGTTGGCCAAGAGAGCGAATGACTCTTGTTCTTAATCTTAACTTTATTAACACTCTCTCTCTCTCTGTAGTGGGGCTTAAAGTCCACTGGCGTTGGGATGTATGCCACAAGGGAGACAAAGAGCGCGGCCAAGGCGCAGAAAAAGACCCAAAAGGTGTCCAAAAAGCAGCAGCAGAAGCAGCAACAGCAGAACGGCATCAAAATTGGGAGCACAACGAAGTCTCCGCCTAACGCCAAGACCCCAACACAAACGAACAGCACCACAACCAACAACAACAATAATAACATTGTGCCAAACAACAATAAAGATCCGCCAGCAGAATCGACAAACACAAGTCAGAAATTTCGGACACATTACGAGGCGGAACGAAGGGCCACAGTGACAGCCACAACGCTGCCATCACTGCCGGGATACGAGAATGTGGCCAAGATGGAGCGATCCAACAGTTTCTCGCTGCGGACAAAGCTCTCGAAGTTCATCAATCACCTGACGGGCAGCAAGGAGAACCTGTCGCGCTCCGAGGAGGATGCGGAATCAGGCCGCACGCCATTCACGTTCACGCGTAGCCGCTCCATGATCCTGATGCGTCGGCCCAACCGTCGGAGCTTCATTGAGCCACAGCTGGAGCAGCTGTCGGAGGAGACGGAAAAGTCCGGCGGGGATCTCACCTCACCGGCCTCTCCCCGCAAGACATCGGTGGCCGAAGAGTCGCCTGTTATGCTGCGGCGCGGGGAGGTGACCGGCTCAGTGCGGACGCCGACGCGTCGCCAGTCGGCGCATCCGATTACCTCCACGCCGCTGGATGAGGTGTCGTCGGTGTCGGTGCCCGCTGTGCAACGGAAGGCCTCCCTCATGTCCGACAATCCGCAGCTGAATTTCCAGAAGCGTCGCTCCAACACGCTCATCGCCTCCTTCAAGAGCACCTTCAGCGGTCTGGCCGGCGGCGGTGGCGGTGGCATCGCTGGCAGCGGTGGTGGAGCCAGCGAAAAGAAGGACAAGATGAACCCCAAGTGGAGCGCCTCGCTGCAGTCGCTGCAGGCCATCGACAATATGGTGTCCTATGCCAACATGTCCTTCATCGACTACGACAAATTCAACGGCTACGAGAAGCAGCTCGAGCGGCAGCAGTCGCTCATGAGCCTCGCGGAGCAGCCGCTGCCCGTTGCCACACAGTTGCCACTGCCTGCCACAGCCATGACACACTCGCACTCTCCCTCGCCCTCACTGCCCGTCCCCCTGGTCTCGCCCATGGATGAGACAGTGGCCAGGACGGTGGTGATGCGGCGCAACAAGCGGGGAAACAGCAGCAGCAGCACCTCCTTGGCGGCACGCACCAGCCTGGACACCGACTACGAGCACAATCTGGACAAGGTGCACAATGTCTATCGCGAGAGTCTCGATTCGCGCACCCTGGAGCTGCTGAATCTGCGTTCCCGCAACTCGTTCATCCAGGATCAGCCGCTGCTCTTCGATGCCCTCAATCTGGAGGATGGCTCTGTGGAGCGACGGTGTAAGCTCTGCTCCCAGCGTGTGGTCAGGAGCGGCAGCATGAAGCAGCAGCAACGTGACGCCGTGGACGGGCGGGGGAATCCAAAGAAACAGGTGAGCGAAACTCATGAATTGATTCATTGAATTTACCCCGGAAAAGCGTGATAGGAAGTGGGATTAATGTTTGTATTCTTGCTAATGTATTTCGTGGGATTCCGTGCCGTCATTGGGTGCCTTATCAATGCCTTGCAATGAGTATTATTCATTCGAAGAGTGTTTCTATGCCATTTTCCTGACATCTCTGGGAGTGGAAACCAGCAGAGGCCATATTTTCTCTGTTCCCCGAACCCTCCTAGAATCTTTCTGATTCTCCCAAGCAAAAACATTGAACATCCTTTGGCATGGACTTAACTATTTGTATTTGCCAGCTTCTTTGTTGTGTGGTGTACAGATTAATGCCGAATCGAACAAAATATAATAGAAAAAGTTAGAAAAAAGTTATAGCGACAAGGGACCCTTACGAACAACTGTACTTAACGGATAGCTACGGATAAATCGTAAATTGGATAATGGTTAGTGGATAATCGGCATATGATAAAAACTAGTTTGCACTTAAAGCGATCCTAAGGTTTATGGGGCTTATGTGTGGAAATGGTATTCGGCGACCCTGTTTGGGGTGGAGTCTGCTCCCATTACTGCGTGTAGTCGGTGTCGCCCTTGGAGTAATGGATGCAGGCCAGAACCGTGTCCAGCAGATAGAGTGCTCCCTCCAAGACGCACAGCGAGCCCATGGCAATGCCCACCTGTCGCTCAGAGTTGACGTACAGGAATCCCTCGTCGGACATGTAACCCTTCCAGTAGTGCAGTGCCACGCCGCCAACGGCTATCCACATGATGCATCCCACCACGTTCATGATGGTGTCGCAAAGTTCTCTGCAAATGAATAAAGGTGTTAGGGAAATGTTATAAAGCTGCCTCGAATGTGGACTTACCCCTTATGTTTGGTGGTGCCGAAGGCATAGGCAATCGTGTGGCATCCCGTGTAGATCAAGAATCCAACCATTACTCCAGAGGCAACAATTTCCGCATCGGCACTTTTCTCTTCGTTGAGATTCCAGGTGCCGCCAATGCCCAAGAACTCTCCGCCATCGCCCCAACGGTACAGGAAGAGGATCACCAGGTTGATGATCTACAAAAGAACGAAAGGATGTGCGATGAGGTCACTGTTTTAATGTCTTTGCATGATTCATGGCCATAGCCAATGGAGCGGAGTATCCAACGCTGCGTATGAGTAATATTACTAATACGCGCAGGGCGGGCACTTCTGCTGCTGCTGCTGATAAGCGACTCTTATCAGCAGGGGCTGTGGCTGTGGGGCTGTGTGGCTATTGCTCAACATTTTGGCCCTCGTTTGGGATTGAAGGGTACGGCGTAGACTCACCAGCTTTAGGGCCTTGATGAAAATAGAACCAATAGTCTCCACAGACACCATTCTGATGTTTCGTTTCGTTGGCTGAAAGGTAAATAAGAATCGTTTAAGGAATAGCGCTATATCTTGGGCTTTTCCTCAGATTTCTCTTTCTGAATTTGCAATCAATCTCTGGCCACCGCACTCACAATCTGTTGCTGTAATTTACACCCACAAACTGATTCGCACTCGCACTCGTGTTCGTATCGCTGTCGCTTGTCGACTGAATACTGGAACTTAAAAACTGGAACGGAACCCACAGCCGACAAAGAATTTGTGTAGCTTTTGCAATCTGCGGCGTACACACACAACAGCGAGATAAGATAAGATACGACAGGGGAACGATAACAAGTGCTGGGTGGCACGATAGCAGGTGCTCTACGATCCGAAGTGGGCTACTATTTGTTTGTGGAGGTGGTGCGCATGCGCTGCCCCTATCTTATCGGTGGCTCACTGTGGCTGGCCGCTTTACATTGCCGTTTAGGTGGGGCGTTGGTACTACATTAATCATGACGGGCCACAAAGCCACAAAGTTCTGTGGCAAAGAAAGGTCCGGAAGCGTCACCGATGAATGGTTAAATTTTGATGAGCCATGGGTCTGGAATTTATGTTGCTTCTAAAGAATGTGCCACTGTTCTTGACCTTGGGCATCGATTGTGTTGGCGCCCTTACCTGGATCTAACAACCGATTGAAATGCCCCACACACAAAGACTGCCCCACTGAAAGCAATCTGCATGTCAATTAGCCCGTCAACGCTGAACCCAACCCCAAGGGGCAATCGTGGAGAGTCGCTACAAACCAATTGAAGCAGGCAAGCAAATAATGCAAAGCATTGCGACAATTGTATGCCCTCCCGTTGCCCGCAACTACGATCTGTATATCAGTGACAGCAAAGGGTAAAGGGAGTGAGTTACTATTATTATTATATTGGGGAATACATTTACATAAATTTGTTAGTTTGCTGGTAGAAACTGTGGGAGCTCCACGAAATCCCCTGGCTTTTATCACGTGCTCGGAATTATGAGTTATATTTATAGATCATAAATATTGTATATCCAGTGGCAGCATCAAAACATGAAAAGTGACATCACACCTTGTCAAGACGTTTTTTTATAACCCGTCGTTAAGTGTCTCTTTCGTACACTACACTATAGTCATTTCACATATAAATATTTATGTACATATCTATTCACATACATACATATTTACATAGTTACGAGGTGTCTCTGCGGTTTATTCGAATATAGGAAGTGTAGAACGAAAGAGAAGCCCGATCTGTGCACAAGGCTTCCCATCTTGAATATGTTCAGAATGAAAAGAATGGCCCCATGTACTCTCTACATTTTTGAAAAATTATTCTAACTTTCAAGTCTTTGATTCTTATTTTGAGTGGGTAATTCTCCTTGCACATAATGTTTTGTTATATATCGCGAAGGCTGGTCCAACTTTCTCAGCTTAAGAACAGAATCATCACTCTTTTATTCCAGAGAAAATTCCTATAAATATAGTTCTATATCCAGAATATCCCTCTCCCTCACATTAAATTGACAAAGAAAATCAGGAATGGGAAAGGGAATGGTAAGCTGCTGTACTTGCAGTGGAATGCCACACCGAATCAAGGCCAAAGGTCGAAACGTTCTGTCTCTTTCGCCTACTTAGGCGCCGAGTGAAGTCTTTTCATTTTTGGAATCTGTATCCGCTGCGTTGCCGAGTCACTGCATGAGTCACTGTGCTGTGATCGTCAGAGAGGGGGAGCTGGGTGAGAACGAGGCAAGAACTGGAACCGGCATGCAACAGACGACAAACACAAACACAAACGCAGCAGCCAGAAATAATAAACGTCGCGTGCAGAGCAGTCGCTGTCGCAGCTGCGAAAGAGAGCAAGAGAGAGAGTGAGAGTTGGCCAGCTTTTGTCAGCCGATACGCAATCCACGAGTTTCATGCCAGCCAGATATTGATGGACACACGAATAACTGTGATTGTTGTTCCAGCTTAAAGCTACGAAAGTTTTGCTGTAATTTTTGTAATTTCTACCTACATTGTGCTCAAATGCTAATCACGAATGAGTGTACCTGCGCTGCTACCATTTTTGGAGAGCACTTAAGATGTCCATAAAAGTATGTCCCTGCCCGGCGTCAATGAGGTGTGACAGTGTCTCGAATTGGCGCGCAGACTTGGAGCTGCCCTGAGTCAGAGCCACAGCCCACAGCGGCAACCCTCGAGCACATGTTCTGCATAGACGGATGGTTGGTTGGCGCATCGATAGAGCTTTTCGATTTTGTTTTGATTACTGCCCACTCGATTCCGTTGGATCTTCTTCGTACACACACATACCCTCTCTCTTTCTCTTCCTCTCTCTCTGGAGGCAATCAATGCCGGCAATATGTGGATGGCAGGGGAGACGCTCGGCATAGGGGGGTTCCAGATTCCGGTCGTTGTTGCTTTTATGAATGAAAGTTTCGTTTGTTTACTTTTCGGTGCCTACGCTCTGCTCAGTGAGTGTGCGCATCGACTCACTCTCTCGGAGAGAGAAAGTGCACGACACGCAGTGAGAGAGAGAGCGTGAGTGATTGAGGGAGAGAGAAAGGTAGCAAAAAGTGTGAGCGAGAGACAGAGCAAGATGCTTATCATCAGACCCCAAAAGAGTTTCGCCAATTGAATAACTGTGCGGAGATTCCATCTTGGAATCCATTGATACGAGGGGAGCATTATTATATCAGCTTATTCCAAATAAAATGAGAACTTGTAGTAGACTTTATTTAATTTTCCCTTTTGCATCCGTTATGCCACAACATTTCCCACATGCACAAGTGTCGCTGGGTGGCTGGGTGGATGTATGCCCCTCTCTTTCGGTTGGGAGACTCGTCATCCTTATCAGGCGGCGCGAGTTGTCTCGGCTTTCGTTCCGCTTCTTGGCCTTTCGATTCGTCCTTTAAACGAACTGATGGCGCCAGAGTCGCGCCAGTTCGCTGCCAGCCGTCGCCCAGCGAACGACCCTTGGGAGAGGAGCAACATCCGCGTCCGCGTCCGCGTCCACGGTTCGGTTTCCGTTTTTGTTGAGCGCCATTCTGCGCTCCGTCTGCTCGTAGTGCCGTAGTGCCGTAGTGCCGTCGCGTGGTCTATTCGCTGGGGAGCTGACTAGCCAGGGTGCACTGTACCAGTGCACAGGTGCCGCTGCCGCTTGGATTCGCGAATGACTGTCAGACCTCGCAGACGAATAAACTAAACGCTCGGAGAATAAACAAATCAAATGGAATATGTCCGACATTCGGTGCAGCAGATGCGATGGCAAGCCAGAGCTCTGGCTCATGTGATTGTTTGTTGACCAAAGTGAGTTTTTCCGAAATCCTACAGGATTCGAGCGACTTAATACCATGGGAAGTGCAAGGACAGCAAAAGAAGGGACGACAGTCGCAAAACTAAAGTCGAATTTTGTTGACAAAAAGTGTGGAGTGTGGAGCTCTGCTTTAAAGTGGTGCATTTTTAAGGGAATTGTTTAGATGTTTCTTTTACTTTTAGGGAGTTAGAAAAGTTAGTGGTGGTTCCAGACATACGATTCTGTATGATTTTGGCATATAGCGATGGTAGAGGTAAATGTGGCAGAGGTTTTGCTTCGCAAGCAAATAAATAGATCCAGAAATCGCA